AGTAAAAAAAAAAAAAAAAAAAAAAAACTTTCTTAAGAGTCCAAAGTCATTTTATTAAATCTAAAAATGTAGGCTGGAATAATCAAGAGGCAGCTTTCAGGGTCCCAACAATCCCCCTTCATCCGGGCTACAAGAGACACAAATATTGAGGATAATACAGGCTAAAGTCTACTTTAGGTGATCCCTTAAAGTGACATTAAACCCTCAGATTTTTTAACATAAACCAATACTGTAATGTGCGCCTTACTGTAATCCATGGTTGTTTCCCTTCTCTTTGCTGCTCTTCCTTTTAAATCCTCATGTCTTCTCATGCTGGGCAGAACTTCTGTTTTGCAGCAGACTGCATTGTCTCTGAAATGGATACATGGTGTCTGTGTGAAGGTTCACAACCTGAGCCAGCACTACAGGAAGAGGCACTCAGCTGCAAAGGGAAATTCTCCCCAAGCATGAGAAGAGATACGGATTTAAAAGGAAGAGCAGCAAAGAGAAGGGAAACAACCATGGATTACAGTAAGGCGCACATTACAGTATTGTTTTATGCTAAAAAATCTGAGGGTTTAATGTCACTTTAAGACTCATCTCTTCAGGGAAACCTATCCCACCTCAACCATCACATTGTCAGACAATTCATCCCCACACAGCTCCCTCCTCATGTATCACTTGCCCCTCCCTTTTAGATTGCACGCCCTCAGGGGCAGGGCCCTCCTTACCATCTTGTCTTGAATGGTATTGTAATTGTAATGTTTTCCTTATATTGTAAAGCGCTGCGCAAACTGTTGGCGCTCTATAAATCCTGTATAATAATAGTAATAATGTGAGATGTATTCAAATCAAAATCAACTAAGGCACATAGAAAATGTGGTAGTCATTATCTATGTAGAGAATAAGAACACAGAAAATGAGTACTTGGACAGTCTGCGTCCATGTGCGGGCACCCAGACCTGTATGTGCAGGTTCAGGTCGGGGTCCAGCCACGTCCTACCATAGGGATGTACAGGTGGCTGCACACAATTACACGCTGCACCTGTCCCACCCAGGAGCAGGTCTCTGCAAGGACATGCACGCCGATCTTTATCTTTTGTAGCCCTGATGAAGGGGGATTGTCCGGACCCAAAACACTTGGCTGCCTCTTGTTTTTTTACTTTGCACTTTAAGAACTTTTGTTTAACATCTTTCATCTGAGATACATAGTACAGGAAACCTCCGAGGTGGAGGGCGCCTATGCTTTGTGGAAAGCAGCTGAGCACTAACCATTTGGATAGACCGAAGAATTTTGTTTCTGTTGGCCGAAGATTTGTATCCAGCGCCTTGCCCCTACTTCCCATTGAAGAAAGTTCACTTGTCTTCCTGTCTTTTTGACACCAAGACAAGAAATAAAGGGGAAATGGTGTTACCGTGACAGAAAGTCAAAGACCCACTTCCCTCCACTAAGGAGACTTCACTTCGCCTTGCCCCTAATTGCCATTGAAGAAACTTCACTTCCTGTTTTTTTGACACCAAGATAAAAAAAAAAAAATGGTGTTATGACAAGAAGACATAGACCGCAATAAAGACCCACTTCCCACTGAAGAGACTTTATTTCCTGTACTTGTAACTCCAAGACAAGAAATAAGGGGAAATGGTGTCACTAGAACAGGAAGACATAGGCACCAATAAAGACCCAACAGAGCAACACCAGCCACCCCCATTGTATCCGACACCTTGCCCCTAATTCCCATTGAAGAGACTTTGCTTCCTAGTTTTGTGACATCAAGACAAGAAACAAGGAAAAAATTGTGTCACTAGAACCGGAAGACAGAGAGCAATAAAGACCCACTTCCCATTGAAGAGACTTCACTCCACTTCCTGTCTTTGTTACACCAAGGCAAGAACTAAGGGGAAATGGTGTCACTAGGACAGGAAGACATAGGCAGCAATAAAGACCCACTTCCCATTGAAGAGACTTCACTCCACTTCCTGTCTTTGTTACACCAAGACAAAAACTAAGGGGAAAATGGTGTCACTAGGATAGGAAGACATAGGCAGAAAAAAGACCCAAACAGAGCAATGCTCCCTATCTCCCCCAGGACCTGCCCTTTTTGTGTACGTATTGTATGAATACAGAATGGTTTTATTTAAAAATGGCATTAGCATGTCAATGAAGAGGGAAGCAATTTTGTTTCTTTCGGCTGAAGATTCCTTTCCAACGCCTTTCCCCTACTACCCATTAAAGAGGGTTCACTTTTTGGATTTGTGACACCAAGACAAGAAATAAGGGGAAATGGTGTCACTAGAACAGGAAGACCTAGACAGCAATAAAGACCCAACAGCACACAGTGCCCCTGTCCCTCTGCAGGCATTTAATGAAAACAGAAAATTGTATTTAATAATCCCATTAGCTTTTTAATAAAGGGGGGGGGGGGGATTTTTTTGGGCTGAAGATTTGCATCCAGCACCTTGCACCTACTTCCCATTGAAGAGACTTCACTGCCTTTCTTTGTTACACCAAGACAAGAAACAAGGGGAAATGGTGTCACTAAAACATCAAGACGTAGACAGCAATAAAGACCACTTCCCTGGGGGAGGTGGGAAGCATTGCTGCGTTGGGTCTTTATTGCTGCCTATGTCTTCCTTTCCTAGTAACACCATTTCCCCTTAGTTCTTGTCTTGGAGTTACAAAGACAGGAAGTGAAGTTTCTTCAGTGGGAAGTGGGTCTTTATTGCGGTCTATGTCTTCCTGTCATAACACCACTTCCTCTTATTTCTTATCTTGGTGTCAAAAAGACAGAAAGTGAAGTCTCTTCACTTCCTGTCTTTGCGACACCAAGACTAGAAATAA